ACTCTTTTCTCCCCTTCCACCACTCCTGGCTGGGGTGCTGCAGGAAACTCAGTCACTTTTGTTTTGGGGAAACTACTCTGACGCTGTGAGGCAGACAGATTGGAAAGAGAGAAGAGGAAGAGACCAGGAGACCTGGCATGAGTAACCTTGTCCCTAGAGCAGCCAGAGGAATCTTCCTAAAACAGAAACCTGATCCTGTATTACTCTCCTGTTTTAAATCCCTTCAAAAAAATACACCAGGCCTCACATGAACGGGCACCCACCTCACCTCACTTCCCAAGTCTCCCCGTCACTCAGCATGCCCAGCCAACCGCCTCCTGACTAGTCCTCCGACTTCCTCAATGCCCGTCCACATGCTGCTGCCTCTGCTCCCCTACTCCCCTTACCAACACGTCTCAACCAGGGTCCTTCCTCAGAAGGACGTCCCCTGACCATCCTCCCATCATAATTAGGTCTCCCTAAGTCTTATCCTCTCTTATATTACAGCACCTCATTCTTTCCTTAATAGCCCGTCTTGCAACTTGCATCTGTGTACTTTTGTTTGTGTGATGGCTTGTTTGAAGTCCCTCTTCCCCAGTGGACTGGAAGCTCCATGAAGGCAGTGGTCATGCCTATCTTTTCATGGCTGTATATGCACAGCCTTACACAGTGCCTGGCACATAGAAAGTAACCAATGAGATGTGCTGGATGAATGAATGAATACCTTCCAGTGCGATAAGTACAACCATAGCTATAGTTATGGGTGGTCAGGGAAGGTGTTTAAGAAGATAAGTATTGGCTTCTCAGACAGGCAAAGGGGTGAGAAGGGCATGCTGGGCAGAACGGATGGCATGTGCAAGGAGGAAGGAGCATGAAACACCCTGGAGAGCATGGAAAACTCTAGGGCAGGGTTTCTCAACCTTGGCATTGCTGACATTTTGGGTAGGATAGTTCTTTTTGGGGGGGCCACTCTGTGCAGGATATTTAGCAGCATTCCTGGCCTCTACCCTTTAGATGCCAATAGTGTCCCGCCTCCAGTTGTCACAACCAAAAATGTCTCCAGACATTGCCAAATGTCCCCCTGGAAGGAAAAATCACCCCTTGTTGAGAAGCATTGCTGTAGGTAGGTCTGACATGCTGGTATTCAAGGTACAATGTAGGAAGTGTTAGGAATGGAAGCCAGTGGGGCAGATAATGAAGGATCTGGGAAGGATTTGAGGATTGCATCCTGTGAGGATGACTGAAAAGAGTTTGCACAGGACAATGACCTGGTCACATCTCAGACGCTACCTCGGATGCAGTGTGGAGGGTTGGTTAGAGTGATAGAAGAGGTGGGAGGCCAACCATGAGGCCGGCTGATCTCCTCTCCCAAGGCAGGCACCAAACCTCCAGCACTGCACAAGGAGGGAGCCCTGGAGGCCATGATGTTCTCTCTGAAGGATTGCCCCAGGCCCCACCTGCAGGTCAGGAGAGCTCAAGGAACAGCGGTGGACATGGATGAGGGAGTGTAAGATTTGAGGAAGCGCTCTCCAGGGGTTGGAGGCTTCTCGTTATTGAAGGCAGCATGGTGCAGAGGGAAAAGTTGGGGTGTCAGGTGCTCCAAGGTTCCAACCCCAGCTGTTCCACTCTCTGTGAACCTTGGGATAGTCACTCCATTGATCTGAGACTCAGTCTCCCCATGAGTGAAATGGGTGCTCTAATACCCACCTCACATAGTTGTTGGGAAGATTAACTGAAACAACAGATCTGAATGCCCGCCATGGCCCCATTCCCAGCCCAGAGCAAGAACTTCAGACCTGCTTGTCCTCTCCATTTAGTCTACAAAATATTTCCCCCTGACACTCATATTCCATGCTAAAGAGTATTTGGTGAACAAATCTAAAGATGATTGTCAGTATTACACACCAAGCACACTCTGTATTTTACATTTTCAAAAAGAAAAACCATGATTTAACACTGGGGTCAAATCTACTTCTTTCTGATAACCAGTTTAGCTCCAACGCTCACCATCTGACTGGATGGTCAGATGGCAATCACTAATCAAAGAGATGGCAACTATGTCAAGACTTGCTTCGCCTTCTCTACAGCCCTGTGACATCGAGTCCCAATGTTATCAGCCCCACTTGACACACCAGGAGGCTGAGGCAGTTTAAGAAACTCGTTTCAGATCATCAGCCAAGATAGGCTAGTGACAGGCAGATCCCCATTGTGAACCCACCTGGGGAGGGGGCTTCAGGGTCTGCGCTGGTGACTCAGCCTTTGGAGGACCCATGTTGCTTCTTGAGTGTAATTCACTTTTAACACATTTGTTTTAATATCAGGGGGAAGAAAGTTGTTTACTCTTGGAAATATTATAAAATCTAAATACTAGCACAGAAAACTGCTAATATAATTTCCCACTCAGAGAAGAGAAGACAGAGGCCTAAGGAGGAGAAACAACTCACACAAGTCATACTGTGGTTGGCAACTGAGCTCGAGCTAGAGCCCACGTCTGTGGTCTCCCAGGCTAGCTGGCTCCTTGTTCCTGCTGAGGTGGAAGGTTCTGGAACAACACTGCCTGGGTTTTGAGTTCTACAGATATTGCCAGATGCCTACCAACTATGTGCTTTGGGAAGTTATTTTACCACTCCATGCCTAAGTTTCATCATCTTGAAAAATTGGGTTAAAGTAGCAACTTCTTTATTGGATCCTATTAACTATTGAAAGGATGAAAGAAAATTGTGTGTCTGTGTGTATGTGCATGCATACATATGGCTTAGAACAGCATCTAACATTTAGGAAGACCTTGAAAATGATCATTATTATTCTCTTATAGTTAGTTTTATGCAAGGCACTTTACATATGAGGCCACATCTAAGTATGTTCTGACCATTATGAGGTAGGTGTGATCCTCCACACTTCACAGAGGAGGAAACTGGGATCTGCCTGGTAGAAAGACTTTGTCATAAACATCAGAAGGAGTCTGTGATGTGCCCCTGTGGGGAGGTGTTCCTGTTGGGATTTGTATCTTTCAGGATGCATTGGTTTCCCCCTCCACACATGCAGGTCCACAATGCATCCTTCAGCCTTTGGGACAACTTTTTGGTACATTTGGACTGGATGCTCAGTGATTACCAGGACTATATCCTCTCTCAAGGAAATAAGGAAGCCCTTGGAGGCAGGGGGCTGGGGTGGGGGGAGTAAGGAAAGACAGAGGCCATGGTATCTCTGGATGGCCTGCAGGTGTGAGGATTAGGGGGAGAGGGGGCCTCACAACAATCCCTTTTCCTTGAACACCTCTCAGGGACATGCAGATCTTCGAGGCTGTAGCCATTGGCTGAAGGGTAAAGATTCTTCCTGAAGCCTCACAAAACCTTAAGAGACTATCTCCCCTTCTCCTCCCCAATTTCCATTATATCTGGGTTCACAGTCCAGCATCGTGACTTACTCCTTCTGTGATCCTGGATTACTAACAAAATTTCTCTGATTCTTCACCTTTTTGCCTATAAATATGAGTGCATATTCCCTGACTCCCAGGGGAAATGTACATCTAGCACAGTGGTTCTCAACTTTGACTGCACACAGGAGTCATCTAGGGAGACTTAATTAATACTGACACCTGAGTCTCACCCCTAGAGATTCTGATACAATTGTTCTGGGGTGTGGCCTAGATATCAGGATTTTTAAAAGCTCCCCAGGTGATTCTAATATGCAGTCAAAAACTGAGAACCCCTGATATACATATAGCAGATACTCAATTAATACTGTCCCCTCACATTTCTTTAGTGTTAACTGCCTGTTCCAATTTTATTTTTAAAGGCCCTACTGGTTTCTCAGGATGGCTCAAGTATTCTTTATTTCTGTCACCCCCATGCACATTCTCATATTGACAACCTCTGCACTTTCAAAAGAGATGACTCAACCCCCAGCCAATCAGGCAGGCCCTTTATCTAGCATTGGCTCATTTTCTGTTCATTGGATAGAGCCAATTGGTTAAGACACACAATGCCCTCTTGGAGATGCCAATGAGAAAATCAAACAGATGGAATGATCCATTGTTTGCTCTTCAGCCAGGGAACTCCATCATTTGCCTCCAAATCTATCTCTTACAGTGTGTAAAAGCTCACATTATAAAACCTAAGTTCTCTCAGCTGGATCTTAAACAATAATGTTTCTCCCACTCGTGTCCATGGGATAACCCCCCCACCTTTGTATAAATGTCCACCTCCATTTCTCATGGACTACTCCCATGTCAGGAGATGTGCCATCAGCCAGTCACTCATTGCCAGCCACGCCTCCCCCAAAGACACTCTACTCCAGTCATGCTATTTCCCAAAAGCTCTCCATGCTTTGTACATGTGTGCCCTTTGCCTAAATGCCTTTTCTCCCATGCTCCACCTGGAAGGTTTTACTCACCTTTAAAAGCCAAATTCAATTGTTCTCCTCTGCAGCTTATCTAACCTATCCTCCCGGTCTCTTCCCCAACACAACAGAATTTAGTTGTTTCCACCTTTGTGCTCTCACAATCTTTGTAACTCTCAGCATTTACCATGATGCATATATTATAGATTAATGTTATACTGGATAGGGATTTTGTAATTTGTCTTTTTATAACCAACTTCTAGCACAGGTACAGGGCCTTAGCAAGTGCAAACTAAATGCCTGTTGGACTGCATCTAATTCTCTATCCTCAGATCTATACCAGTCAATTTTCGAAACACCTTCCCAAAACAATCAAAACAGATTTTCTCTGTCACCATCTAGAAGCTTATTAGTATTCATTTGTTATGATAGAACTTTAAAAGATTAATTTTCTAGCCCATGTATTTATATGTGAATGAAAAAAATGAATAAACACTTACCATAAATCTGAAATAATACAAGAGATATCATGTCCCTGGAAGAAATAACTACGTTTTACAAGAAAGGGAACGTATTTGGCTGATGAGGGAATGAAAGGGTTGGGGGGGGGATTTTTGCTGCTTTATTTCCTGAGATGGGGGAGCACGGGGGGCTGCTGAGGAGAAGAGCACCTGCTTTACCTTTTCCGGAGCAGGCAGCTGTAAGTGATTAACCTCCAAGGGAGTGATGAGAGGGACGGTCTGGAAGCCATCCTCAGCTGAAGGCGGCTTGGTCCCCTTCTCGCTGGGGGTACTGGTCAGCTTCACCATCCTTATGCCTTTCTTCCCAGACCTAAGGCAAGCAGGGGATTCTAGTTACAGTAGGAGGTGAGGCAGGGAAAGAGAGGGCTGACGACAGGGAAAACAGCGCTGTCCTCAACAGCTCCACTCAGGCAGCTTTCAGTGTAGAGATCAGTCATGGATCTTCCACTAGATTTCCTGACATGATTCTCATTATCCAGTAAAACTTCTTTAATCATCAAAATATGCCACCTGCCCATGGGGTTCGACAGCCCTCAGATTTGAGAAACTCAAGACAAATCCCAGACTTACTCAAAAAATACACAAGCTTTAAAAAAATCTAAGACACTAGAGCTAATGTAGCAATATAATCTCAGTGAAAATCTTATTCTTAGTGCAAAATTAAACCCTATTATTCTGGGTCACCCTGCAGTATGATAAATTGCACCTCACCACCCTGGTTGCTGTTTTATGCTATTGGCTCTTCTTCAGCAATCTCCCTAAAACACAATAAATACATTCAGTGTTTCTATGTGTACCCTTTCACACAATATGTAGGTTTTACAGCAGCTACAATTTCCTAAAACAAAAAAGGATTGGCTTGAACCCAATCCTGTTATTCAGCCATGGAAAGCCTCCATTTCCTCAACAGAGAAGGGCTATGTTGATTTTTTTTCTTCCATGGAAAGTTAGCAACCCCCATACTGCAAGACTGTCAACTAAATACACAAATCACATTTATTCCTCCCCAGCTCCCTTGGAAGTCAAATGGTGCTCCCACCGCCCCCACCCCGAAGCCCAGTACAACTGAATTTCTCTTGTCAAGCCTGCTGATGGAACGTTATTAGACAAAATAGGGTTGTTGTGGGGGTAAAAGGGATGGTAAAGCGGTGGCGGATATTGGGGAGTAGTTATAGCAAAAACAAATGCCTACTTACTGTGCTGCACTCTTGGGGGTCAGAGCAGATTCAAGCCGATTTGAAGAGGAGGAGGACAGCCAGGAGTCCTGCCTCCACAGCCCGAGCTTTGTGGTGCTGAAAGGACAGCGCCGTGCGTGTGTCTGGACTGGGAGCTTCTGAGAGCGAGGCGCGAGCGAGCGAGCGGGGAAGAGCTCCTGGCAGCTGCCTGCCTGCTCTCTCGCTCGTGCCCCCTCCCACCAGGGAACGGGTTCCCACACCATCTGTCATCTGGCACCACCTGCTGTTTCTCATGCATGGCCACAACCACGGCATGGGATGAAATAGTGTCAAGAAAGTGGGAGGGATTCTGGCCACACACACACAAACATAAAATTAATACGCACATCTAACAAGCAATTCTAGAACCTTTAGAAAAACTGGAGGAAGCACATTCATTAGGACAAGGGACCACCTCCTAAGATCTTCTGGAACAAAATTATGAAACAGAACGGTACAGTACCTGCACTGTGCTCTGATCTGTGGTAAGGAGAGAAGGAGAACTAATATTTATTGAGTATCTCCCATGCAGTGGGCACTTTTCCAGCCTCTTTCAGACTATTTCCCTCATTTGCAAAATGTGATTTCTAATAGAACCTACACAATGAGTGCGAGGTGTGATTGTGATAACATTGGGAAAGCATTTGGCTCAGAGCAGGGCACATGACAAGCACTACATAAACATAAGCTGCTATTCTCACAACGCCGCTGTGATCATATAGATCAGCTAAGGTCACAGACCTGGCATAGCACCAGGAACTGAGATTTAAACCCTGATCCATTGCCACCAAAGAGTGCATCCAGTCCACAACATTATGTATATGACTCCCAGGTTGGTGTCTGGAATCAGAGAGGACAAAGTCCTAGTGTCAGCTCTACCAGTTCTGGCTGTGGGGATCTTGGACATTTTACATTCACTCTCTAAGCCTCCATTTATTTATCTCTGATGTGAGAATACTAACACTTCCCTTGCAGAGTAGTTGTGAGTATAAGAAGAGATTGTGCTCAAGGAAACCCCTTTTAGCCTGGGGACAAGGTTCTGAATTACCGAATTATTTCATCCCTGGGGATTGCTCTTATACACTCTTCACATTATCTGAGGTCAAGTTCATCTCCACGGTTTCTCCCAGCTGTGGGTCAGGTCACAGATTCATCCTCAGCTACAGTGCTGTTTATGATGCACTTCGTGAGGTTCAGTTGTCTTGGCATTAGTAATGGCATACCCTTTCGCTTTCAAAGTATCCTAGTTTGCATGATAAATAGTTTGGTCAGCTTAATTAGTGCTCACATGCTGAAAATACACTCTACTAGCTAAAAAGCCAGGAGAAAACATATATATTATCTGTATTGTTCAGTAATAAAATGGATGTGTGTGTGTGCATGGGCATGGGCACCTGTGTGTGTGTGTGTGTGTGTGTGGAAAGAGAGAGATGTTTCTGTGACAAAGTCTATAACATATCAAAGCTGCACAGGGCACTATTAATAGAAGTCTGCATATATATGAGACAGAGGTATTCCAATAAATCTTAGTCCCCCATTTCCTGCTTTCCAAAGGCTTGGATGATTTTCAGGTGCAGGAATTATCTAAGGACAACACAATGTAAGCAGCTACATAGAGGCAATTGTGAACATGTGTATTTGACCCTATTTCTGCTGCCTCCAAAGGAAAAAGAAAGTCCCTTCAACATAGCTTGTGGTTTATTCACAAGCAGAAATTTTGCCTTTAATAGCCCCAAGCCAGAGGCTTTGAGAGTTTAGTAAGGTCCAGGAGAAGGGCCTGTCTCATGGCAATGTGAAAACCAGGCTTCCTGATATGTGAGGCCAGAGAGAAATGGTGGGAAGAAACAGGGGCCTAGAGTCATGTGGAGAAGCCCCTTGTTTAAAAATGATATTGAGAGGTGCTTAATATAATAGACTATTATTCTCCTGTTGAGTTCTGGAAACTATGTCTTACAGTTGAAAACCAAAATTATGACATTTTCTAGTGAGGTTTTCTATGTATGTTAATGTAATTTATAAGACAACTGCAACATAAGGAATGGAGGATAAAGGGACCAAGGTGGTGGTAATGTTTCTATATTCCACATGAGGTGGTAAAGTATTGATTCCAACTAATCTGAAAAGTTAGTTATATCTATTGTAATCCCTAGGGCAACCAAAAATATACAGAGATAAAGTCCAAAATGCAATAGATAAATTTAAATGGAATACACTAATAAAGTTCAAATAAGCCACAAGAAGGCAGGAAAAGGAAAACAAAAACAAAAAGATGGAATAAGTGGAAAACAAATAATGAAATAGTAGGCTTAAATCCAAATTTATTGATAATTACATTAAATATAAATGGTCTAAAAAAAACAAATAAAAAATACAGTTTCTCAAATGGAGGAAAAACATGAACCAAATATATGCTGTTAACAAGAAACTCACTTCAAATAAAGTGATATAGATAGGTTAAAAGTAAAGGGTCACACTTTTAGCTTTGACTTCAAGGAGCCCAAGGTACAGCTTTCTTCTCTCCTGCTGCGTCTGGGTTCATCTAACACCAGCTGCCTCCACCACGCTGCCAAATTTTGACCCCAATGAGATCAAAGTCACGTACCTGAGGCACACCAATGGGGAAATTGGTGCCTCTTCTGCCTTAACCCCCAAGATGAACTCTCTGGGTCTATCTCTCAAAAAAGTTGGTGATAACATCACCAATTCAACTGGTGACTGGAAAGGTCTAAAGATTACAAAGAAACTGACCATTCAGAACAGACGGGCCCAGAATGAGCTGGTACATTCTACCACTGCCCTGATCATCAAAGTCCTCAAGGAATCACCGAGAAACAGAAAGAAGCAAACAGTAGGCACAGTGGAAATGTCACTTTTGATGATATTGTCAACATTTCCTAACAGAAGCAGCACTGATCTTTAGCTAGAGAACTCTCTAGAACCATTAAAGAGATCCTGGGAACCAGTGATGCAGCCCACAGACACCACTTTCATGACATCATAGATGACATCAACAATGGTGCAATAGAATGCCCAGCTAGTTAAAAACTACAGAGGAAAATATTCCAATAAGGGATCATTTGACAAGCAAAAATGGTAAAGGGATGGAAGAAAATACACTGTGATAACACTAAACAAAAGAAACCTGGGATAGCTATATTATTATCAGACAAAGTAGACTTCAGAGCAAAGAAAATTACCGGAGATAAAGAGAGACATTACATATGCTAAAAGAGTCAATTCACTAAGAAGACACAGCAATCCTAAATGTGTATGGAGCTAATAACAAAGCTGCAAAACACATGAGGAAGAAACTGACAGAACTGAAAGAAGAAATAGACAAGTTCACAATTATAGTTGGAGACCCCAACACTCCTCTCTTGCTAATTGATAGAACAAATAGAAAATCAGCAGGGCTATGGAACAGAGTTTCTCAACTTCAGGTCTATTAACATTTTGGACTGTATAACTATTTCTTGTGGGAGGCTGTCCTGTACATTGTAGGATGTTTAGCAGCATTCCTAGTCTCCACCTACTAGATGCCAGCAGCAACTTCCCCCAAATTATGACAATCAAAAATATCTCCAGACACTGACAAATGTCCCCTGGGAGAGAGGGGCAAAACCATTCCCAGTTGAGAACCACTGTTATAGAAGAAACAAACAACATCACCAACCAACAGGATCTAACTGACATTTGTAGAAAACTCCACCCAAAAACAGAAGAATAAAAATGCTTTTTGAGTGAACACGGAACACTTATTTGGATAGACTATACCCTGAGTTACCAAGATAGACTATACCCTGAGTCATAAAACAAACCTGAACACATTTTTAAAAATTGAAAATGATATAAAGAATGTTCTGGGCCGGCCCTGTGGCTTAGCAGTTAAGTGCGCGTGCTCCGCTACTGGCCGCCCGGGTTCGGATCCCAGGTGCGCACCGATGCACCGCTTCTCTGGCCATGCTGAGGCCGTGTCCTACATACAGCAACTAGAAGGATGTGCAACTATGACATACAACTATCTACTGGGGCATTGGGGAAAAAAAAGGAGGAGGATTGGCAATAGATGTTAGCTCAGAGCCGGTCTTCCTCAGCAAAAAGAGGAGGATTAGCATGGATGTTAGCTCAGGGCTGATCTTCCTCACACACACACACACACACACACAAAAAAAAAATGTTCTCTGACCATAATGGAATTAGATGAGTAATCAATGACAGAATGACAATAGGCAAGTTTCCAAACACTTCGAAATTAAACTAGATACTTCTAAATAATCCTTGTAGCAAAGAGAAAGTCTCAAAGGAAATTAGAAAACATTTTGAACTGAACAAAAATGAAAGTACAAGCTATCAAAATTTTGAGAGTGCAGCTAAAGTAGTGCTTAGAGGAGAATTTATAGCATTAAATGTGTTTAATACAAAAGAAGAAAGATCTCACGTCAATTATCTAAGATATCACCCAGAAAAAAGAAAAAGTGCAAAATAAACCCAAAGCTAGCAGAAAGAAAGAGTAATAAAGAGCATAAATCAATAAAATTGAAAACAGAAAAACAATAGAGCAAATCAATGAAACCAAAAGCTGATTCTTTGAAAAGATCAATAAATTTGATAAACTTCTAGAAAGACTGACAACGAAAAAAGAGAGAATACACAAATTACCAATATCATGAATGAACTATAGGATAACACTACAAAGCATGCAGACATTAAAAGGATAATAAGAGACTACTACAAACAACCATATGTACATAAATTTGATGAACTAGAATAAATGGACCAATTCTTCAAAAAACATAAATTACCAAAACTCACCCAAGAGGAAATTGTAAGCTGAATAGTCCTAACTAACAAGGACATTGAATTTTTACTTTAAATCTTCACACACAAAAAAGAAATCTCCAAGCCCAGACATATTCTTGGGTGAAATCAATCCAATATTTTTAAAAGAAATAACACCAATTCTACACAATCTCTTCCAGAAAATAGAAGAGGAGGGAACCTGCTCCCAATTCATTCTATGAAGCCAGCATTACCCTGATACAAAACAAGACAAAGACAGTACAAGACAAGAAAACTACAGGCCAATATATCTCATGAACATAGGTACAAAAAATCTTCAACAAAATATTAGAAAATCAAATCCATCAGTAGACAAA